AGGAATTAAAGATGAAAAGAAAGAATATTCCCTTAAGGAGCTGGGAGTCCAATGGAGAGTAGTTCTACAGGTGAAAACTAAAAGCAGTGAGATAGCCCTTAGAGCGGGGACACGGGCAAGCCAGATTGGGACATGATCCGATTTGCATTTATGTGAAGTGATTTTCAGGAGCTGAGGTCTAGGCTAGAGTGGGAGTGACTGTGGTGATGTGAGTCACTAATATTAAAATGAAAGTGAGCATGGAGAGGAGGGGACAGTTCAAGAGCCTTTAAGAAGAAGTCCCATCTTACAAATTTGGTGACTGGAGGTGAGGCAAAAGGGAGACAAGGCAAGTTCTAGATTTCTAGCCTGGGCCCTTGGCTGGGTACTTAGTTAGGGACTACTGGACCAAGTGCAGGTGTAGGTCCAGGTGAAACTAATTCTGAGCTGTCAGGTAGAAAGGTATTTATTCTGGTGATGTTGTCCGGAGGACTCTTGGATACAAGACTTGGAATTCAAGAGGAAGGTCAGATAGGGATAGACACAGAGAAAGCCAAGTCACCAGGGCTGCATGGCTGATACCACTGCCTGGGGAATGAGCGTCAGTGAGAAGGAAGATGAAGTCACAGTCTTCAGATCCGTGTTCCAGAGAGGTGTGAGTCAGCCTAAGAGAATCCTCCCAGTGTGACACCCTCAGGATAAGTGGCAGGAGACCATGTTTCTGTAATACCGAGAAGTAAATGAGCAGCAAAGGAATTAGAAAAACCAGTTTATGGAGTTTATTTTCTTCCTTGGTAGTGACCACTAATTGGGCAGATTTAATCTGAACATTAACTTCACTTATACTTGATCTTTCTTCCTTTTGAGTGGCTTTACCAGCTTCCTACATGGGAAAGGAGGGGTAGAAATGATTTTGTATACTTTCCTCCAATGTGGGAGTGTTTTGAATGCAGAGCCTCTAAAGTAAAACATTCAGGATGAACGTGTTATCCAGTCGTCAACATCCCATTTCTGTATGTGCTGAAATGAAAACTGGGGCTTTAAAAATGGAGGTTCAGGGGCCGGCGTTTGGCCCAGCAGTTAAAACGTTGGTTAAGATGCCTGTCCCACGTCAGAGTATCCAGAGTTGATACCTGGCTCTGGCTGCTGACTTCAGCTTCCTGCTAATGCAGACCCTGAGAGGCAGCAGGTGATGGCTCAGTCTGGTTCCTGCCACCCGCAAGGTGAGACTAGGATTGCTTTCCTGGATTTGACTTGGCCCAGCCCTGGCTGTTGAGAACATTTGAGAATGAACCAGGGAATGAGAGTTCATATTACTCTCTCACTCACTCTCTCTCTCTTCTCCCATCCCCTACCACCATCTCTCACATAAATAAATAAGAAGTTTTTTTTTTTTTTTTACTGCTCCCATTTGGCGATCTCCAGAGGTCACAGGATGGGTCACAACTATGCAATACACGTGTACTTGGAGCCCATGACCTAGGTGGCACGCTAGACTGGATGCTTAACCCATTCCTTCTCTAGGTCCAGGTTTCTTTTGGTGTAGCTGATCTCCAGGGGGCTCCCCTAACCCATCTCCTGGGATCATCACAGTTCTTCTTGTGTCTGTGTCAAGAAAGTATAAAATCTGTGCATAACCTGTGGCTCTAAGACTCCTTTTTTGTATTCCTGTCCCTTGGAGGAGTATCTCTTTATTTTAGCACTTCCAGAAAACTATGTCTGTTGACCATTATTACTCTTTGAAATTTTGAGTTGCACTAAAATATTTATAATGTGTGGACAAGTACTTGAAAGGAATTTTAGTTTCCATTAAGATGTATCTCTTGATTTACTGAGGCCTATTGATGATAGGAATAGGGAGTTTCTGATCAAGGGTTGTATAATATAAAGAGCACCTCTTTGATATCAGCCAGCAATTACACACTCACTAAACAATCAGTCTCAGCTCTCCTCCAGATGAGATAACAATAGGCTGTTGGCCACATCTTGGCTGTTTGTGCTGTCATGTGGGTCGTGGGCTCAGCTGTGGCCCTCATGGGTGGTTTTGCTGGCTTTTGTGGGGCTCACTTGGGTTGGGACAAGTGTGAGTGGAGTGCGTGTGTGTGTGTGTGGATGAGTTGGAGAATGGAACTGGTGTTCTTGCTGAGCTCTGAGCTGTGTGTATCTGAGTATGTGTTGATTGACCTCATGAGTCACTATAGACTAGACTGGGGTGGCAGCAAGGGACGTGGTGTTTGGTTGTCCAGAAAGTCTTCTTGGCTGTGAACTCATGGAGGGTGGAAGTTGTCTCCAGGTATCCTTAGATCTCCTGCCCGATGCAGTGCCTGGCATGTTGGAAGCCAATACAGCTACTTGTTAAACATTGGGAGCTGAGCAGCAAGTAGCGATAGGCTGAATGAAGCAGGGGCTGCTCCAAGGGAGAGTAGTAACTACCAGGGAGGAAAGAGTAGAGCTCTCAGAACCAGGGATGGCTCCTGTAGTTTCTGTAGAGTGGATGCGTCTTACGTCTCCATGTCAGCCTCCACTCCAGAAGCTGAGAGCTGACATGTAAAATAAGCTGTGGGATTAGGCGTTGTTTAAGACACCAGTCAGGATGCCACGTCCACAACAGAGGACGTGGGTTTAATCCCCAGCTCTGGCTCCTGACTCCAGCTTCTGTTGCTGTAGACCCTGAGAGGCAGTGATGATGGCTGGGTTGCAGTCCTGGCTCTTGGCTCTGGCCCTGGGCCAGCCCCAGCCCTTGAGGGCATTTGGGGAATGAACCAGCAGATGAGAATGTTCTCTCTCTCAAGTAAATAAAAAAAAATAAAATAAATTGTGATGTATGGGTACAACTTGTCTTATAGCTGCTTGCCTGCTGTGACACATCTTCCATAGGATTGGGCTATGAAAAATACTCTAAATAAGCAATTAAGTAGAGGATTCCTGAAAACCAAATGGTTCGTGACTTGAATGCAGAAGCCATTGGTTGTAGATTGCATTTGAATGCCAGTCTTATTATTTCCTGTGTTTCCTTCAATTATGTAGTAGCATGTGAGAATAAATAAGAGAACTATGGAATAACCAAAGGATAAGATGCCATGTGGTCATTAAAAAACTAACACATTCATGTGACATTTGTTAATAAAGGAAAATTCTCATTATATAATGTTCAATGGCAAAGCATAAAAAGTTATGTTGGCCCATAGGAGGGCCCAAAAACATTCCTTTTGAATGAAAGAATGTTTCCAAGGTGGAAGAAGTAAAAACCTGGGTGTCTGTGCAGCAAATGAGTCTGTGGTTGGGTGTGGCTCTCTGTCACTTGAAGTGCAAAGTCCCAGCCTGGTGGTCCCCAAGTCTGGGTGTCATCCAGACCTTTAACCCTCTTGGAGCTGTTTCTTTTCCTATCAGCGGAGCTGCTCGGCTGCTGTAGAGTGGTCCCTTGGGGGCCCTCTCAGATCCTACAAGGTCTGAGCTGTGGTTGGAGACTGGACAAAGTGGCTGCCTCGTGTGGCTCACATCAGTTCACCAGCCAGGACCCCATCCACCTTCCCTCCTCTTGTTTCCCACCACTTGGCAGGAGGGTCTCGAGTTTCTACCTCCTGAGCCACTCCTTGCTGCTGCTGTGCAGAGGCCTCTTGATTTATTAATCAATTAATCAGTGCATGCTGAGGAGCTGTTCAGGGTAGTTAAACAGAAAAAACAAAACGCTGGAGCCGTAATCAAGATGGATCGTAATTAAGAACCACCCTCCCACCAATGATCTTCCTGCCCACCCTGGCTGCCCCACACCACCCCCTCGCCCACAGTGCATCAAACCCATTCAACCCTGGTGGGGCTTCCGCCCTCATAAAAGCTGCCAGCAGATTCCAGGAGGGTGGATTTTCTCCTCGTGTCCTAGAGGCAAACAATGCTGGACGTGAGCCTTACCAATTATTTGCAATAAGGGCCGGGCTCTAAAAGTTCAACCAGGCTCCCCAGATGGAGTAGCGGCTCTGTCCATGTTTGATGATTCTAGGTTCTCTCCTGTTAAATTTCCACACAGAACATGGAGCTTCTGGAACACAAGTACTGGTCATGGTCTTTTGTGAGGGGTGAGAAGTTCAATGAGATTAGGTTGTTCAAGGTCATAGAGAACACCAAGGTCACCAGTAGGAGAACTGGAACCAGAACTCAAATATTTTGATGCCCAGTTAACCCTCTAAATGTTTGTTTCTCTTTGTAATCCCTCTTTCCTTTAAAAATTTAAAGCGAAGTGCATGAGAGGCAGCATCTTCGTTAGATCCTGCTCCTGATTTCTCTTGGGAGTGGGCCTCTGAGCTCAGGATTTTTAAATCATAGTTTTACTTGAGGTTTGTGGGGCAAAGTGTCTCAACGTATTTGGCTCAGACTTTAAGATTCACGGGTACAGACTGACCAGCATGCCGTGGGGCTGGTGGAAAGCACAGGCCAACCTTCAAGGCTGGCTGAGCCACTGGACTAGGCTGGACTTCTGGTCCAGAATCTGGTTTGGTTTGGTTTTCTCCCAGAGCAGATGAGGCTACGGTTTTCTCCGACTAGACTCTCTGTTTCTGGTCACAGAACATCCAGTACTAACTGTCTGTGCATAACGGGAGCAGGGTCCACGAGGTGCGAGCCCAGAGTGCTTGCGCTCGCCCGCCTCATGGACCAACGTCTGCATCTTTCGCTGGATCCCCGAGGGAGGCTCCAGATACGGCTGTGACTCTTTCATGGCCACAAGGGCAAGAGTCTGAAATGTTCTTCTTTGATTGGCCTGGAAGCTTCAAACTAATTTTTTTTTTTTGGGGGGGGGGTTCTTTAAAGTTTTCACTCTACAGTTCTTTTGTGTGTCAGATGTCATTGTCAACCACAAAAACTCTTGTGCCTCTCTGGCTTCTCCTGTGCGTTGGATGACAATCAAGCAGTCAGATTGTTTGCATACATCTAGGGCTTAACTCGTCAACCAGACATTTGGATCGTGCTTGCTAGGCTTGAGTTACAGGCTGTCCTTTTCACCCTCTTCTTTTTCGTGTGTTCTTCAGGACCCGGCTTTCTCGGCTGTGATCCATGACAAACTCCAGGTCCCCAACACCATCCGGAAGGCGTGGAATGACCGTGACAACCGCTGTGACATTTGTGCCACACACCTGAACCAGCTGAAGCAGGAGGCCATCCAGATGGTGCTAACCTTGGAGCAGGCAGCCGGCAGCGACCACTACGATGCCTCACCGGGCTCTCCCCCACCACTCTCCAACATCCCCTCCCTGGTGGGGTCCCGGCACGTGGGCGGGCTGCAGCAGCCCAGGGATTGGGCCTTTGTGCCTGCGCCCTATGCCACCTCCAACTACACTGGCTTTGCCAACAAGCATAGCAGCAAACCCAACAGCCTTGGGGTCAGCAATGGGGCTGAAAAGAAGAGTGGATCCCCAGCTCACCAGGCCAAGGTCAGCCTCCAGATGGCCACCAGTCCCAGCAATGGGAACATCCTCAACTCAGTGGCCATCCAGGCCCACCAGTACCTGGACGGCTCCTGGTCCCTGTCGAGAACCAACGGGGTCACCCTGTACCCCTACCAGGTAAGTAGCCTCTGTGAGCAAGGGAGGTCGGGGTTGGCTGGGTCAAGGCAGACGGGTAGGTGATACTTCCCTTCTCCACCCTTCTCCTTCTGGGAACGTCCCCAGGAAGGGAAGGGGCACCCTTGTCTTCCACCCACATCCCAAGAGCTAGAATGCAGCCTCCTGGCCCCCCTTCCCACCTAGGACGGACAATCTGCCCAGGTGCCTAGGAGGACAAGGAATGAGTTGAGTTGAGCCCAGGGAGTTGTTTCTGTTATTGTTTCTCTTTTTAAATATGGGGCAAAGATAGAGGGAAGTAGAAGATGACTTAAGTATGGACGGCGACACTGCTGGCGAGTTTTCTAGAGTGTTTGCAAGGGGATGTAGGTTGTACCTTGTGCTGCCTTGAAAAAAAGTGGGAAGCATTGAATATGTTACATTAGCATTCTTGGTCTGCCAGACTTTTCATTTCTCAAGTGCTTTGTAGTTTGCAAAATAGCAGTGCACACCTCACTTTCTTTTTTTTTTTTTTAAGATTTAGTTATTTATTTGAAAAGCAGAGTTACAGAGAGACAGAGGCACAGAGCGAGAGAGAGAGAGAGAGAGAGAGATCTTCCATTCACTCCCCAGATGGCCACAGTGGTGAGAGTTGCGCCTATCTGAAGTCAGGAGCCCAGAGCCTCCTCTGGGTCTTCCACATGGCTACAGGAGCCCAAGGACTTGGGCCATCCTCTACTGCTTTCCCAGGCCATAGCAGAGAGCTGGATTGGAAGTGGAGCAGCCAGGACTCAAACCAGCACCCATGTGGGATGCTGGCACTGCAGGTGGCGGCTTTACCCGCTATGCCACAGCGCCAGCCTCACACCTCACTTTCTTTAATGGCATAGTGGGCCCACGAGGTAGGTATGTAGGGTGGGTGTTAGATCTTCATGTTATAGCATCTGAGACCTAGAGAAGCAGAATGGCCTTGGGGCACACAGCCCTCCCCGAGCCCCGGGAACAGGCGTGCCTGTCCTGGCTGCTCCTGACTTCCCTAGCTTACTGTGGCCGAGTCTCTTGTCCACATTGTCTCCAGATGTGGCTGCTTTCCGTGGTCCTCAGGGGAGGAGGCAGGTGAGGGCAGAGGCAGAGCTGGCTGGCTGCTTTGATAGCACCAGAAGGGCTTGTGTTCCCGCCCATGGGGCGATGGTGGGTTGATGTGACTTCAAGCCAGATACAGGATTAATTCACAAAAGCCGACAACTTGACAGTGTCCTGGATAAATTTAATTGGTTCTTTCTAACCCCAGGCCAGACCAATTCGTGTATTTCCTCAGAGTCATAAAGGCCCCAGAGGAAATCTCTCTGGGATAAAGAGATTTGGTGCCCGGCTATGAATCAGCGTCCCCTGTTTTGTGACTGTGTCATCCCTGTGCCCTGGGGTGGGGGCTCTGGGCCTGGCCAGACTGAGCGTCTCCCGCTGTGGACATCTTCCTGCAGTAAATACTCTGCAGTTCACGGTCCAGCCGGCTCGTCAGAGATGGTTGAGTGCGCTGAAAACTGACCTCATTCTTCCTGCTCACCCGTGCTCCCACCTCCCTCCCCACCCAGCAGAGGGCCCGTGGTTCCGTGCCAAAGCTGCTCCCCAGGCGGAGAGCCTCCAGGGGCTGTAACTGCGGAGGGTGCTGCTGCATGCCCACGGAGCCCATGGGAGGCCAGGGGAAATGAGGGAATACTAGCCACCCACAGCGCAGCAGCTGTGGCGAGAATAAAGACCACCAGCCTGGGGGAAGGGGTGTGTGGGTAACAGGAAGGCCCCCCCATAGCCCACCAGCCCCCCGTTACCCACCCCACTGCGTGGCAGTCTTTGAAGGTTGCAGAAGGAAGGTTCTTTATCCTCTCTTGCTATACCCTTCATGGTTCTAAACTACCTCCAGCAAGAGCAGGAACCCATGAACATCACAGATAAATAGGAATCCACCCAGAGAGCTAAGAAAATGAGGAGGCGCTGCGATTGCATTAAACAAACCGCAGAGATAATTTCTCGTGAAATAAATTAGCAAATTGAGCCTACCAAAGGCGAGGTGCACGAGGTGTTTCAAAGATTTTCTCCTACTAGCTTGTGTACCTTTAGTGCAGTCCATACCCAGAGCCTTCACTGGGCCAGAGGAATTTTTACTCTAAAAAGGCATGTCTGAGGCAGGCGTTGTTAGGCTGTCTCTTGGAACACCCACATCCCCTGTTGAAGTGCCCAGGGTTGAGTCCCACCTCTGCCTCCTTCCAGCTTCCTGCTGATGCACACCCTGAGAGGCAGCAGAGAATGGCTCAAGTACTCGAGACCCTGTTTCAGCCTGGTCTGGGCTGTTGAGGGCATTTGAGGAATGAACCAGCAGCTGGTAGGTCTCTCTCTCTCTCAGTCACTGCCTTTCAAATAAATAAAAACACTTTAAAAAAAAATGCCTGTATTGGTTCCTTATAATCAGCTATAGATTAATTATGTCTTTTGGCATGGTGGCTGCTTTTGTCTGATTTACACTCGGTAACTAAGTGCAGGAAATACTGTGCATATAACACTCTGAATGGGTGGTTGCAGTTAGAATCCACTTTTGTGGGACGGCAGTGGACATGATGGGAGACTTGGGGACAGAGTTCTACCAAGTTCAAGTCTGTGACTCCACCCACTGCTGGCTCACAGTTTAGTTGCTGAGCTTCTTAATCTGTTCCCTCCTCTGTGGAATTCCTGTCTCAAAGGGTGCGTACAAGGAACAGTTAAGAAAAGTGTGTGAGGAGATTTTCCAGACTATAAAGCAGGAATATCAGGATTATCTATTTCAATTCCTTATTTATCAGCGAAGAAATCTGAGGCTGAGGGTTTTGAAATTTTCTCTGTTTCGAGTTCCCTGAGTCCTGGTTGATCTCTCTCTGTTGTGAACTGTGGGGAACAGGCATCCATTTTATTCTCGCCTCCCTCACCACCTGGGTCAGAGCCTGCTCACATGTGCACATGTGGCTACTCATTGGAGAAAGCTCCAACAGGAGGGAGGCCCTGAAGTTTTCCCATGACTGGTGCTAGAGTTAGGGAAAGGAATCCAAGACCACAAGGGCTCTCAGATCCCAAGATTTTTGGTGGAAACCACCAGTGTTTAACTCCAAGCTAATCTTTAAAATGAAGTATCTTAATGACAATTAAAAAATCCTTGGATACAATGAAATGAATCTAGGTAGCATGATATCATACTCAATACAGGGGCATTTGAATGGGTACAAGAACTTATTTCATAGGATTTCTCTAAATTGAACTTGCCAAGAAAATTCGAGAAGATGTTATATTGATATATATACATATAAGAAATCCACAATTGGTCTTTAATGCAATGAAGTTATTCAGTGTGCATTCCCTTGAGTTGAAGGAAAACATCTGCAGTAAAAATTGCCCCATCCTGCTTTCTCAAAAAGCATCCTTCGGAACCTGAGTCACAGATAGGGGTCGACTGCCTTCTGCTTGAGGTCATTGTGGGAGTGTCCCTTATACCTTTGGAAATGAGTGTACCTGTGAGTACCATCATTACTGGACGTCACATTTTAAAATAGTGGCAGGGAAGGATGCAAAAGCAGCAGGCTCTCTGCAGAGACTGGAACTTGCAAGGGAAGCCAAGGGGAGGACTTGGTGCTGTGCTTTTTTTTTTTTTTTTTTTTTTTTTTTTTGACAGGCAGAGTGGACAGTGAGAGAGAGAGACAGAGAGAAAGGTCTTCCTTTTGCCGTTGGTTCACCCTCCAATGGCCGCCGTGGCCAGCGCGCTGTGGCCGGTGCACCGCGCTGATCCGAAGGCAGGAGCCAGGTGCTTCTCCTGGTCTCCCGTGGGGTGCAGGGCCCAAGCACTTGGGCTATCCTCCACTTCTCTCCCTGGCCACAGCAGAGAGCTGGCCCGGAACCGGGACAGAATCCGGCGCCCCGACTAGAACCCGGTGTGCCGGTGCCGCAAGGCGGAGGATTAGCCTAGTGAGCCGCGGCATCGGCCGGTGCTGTGCTTTTTACAGAAGACTTCTAAACCGGCCCGTAGGAGGAAGGCGAGGCTGCAAGCCCAGCACGTGCTGTACTCAGTCTCAGGAGCTTTGAGTGTGGTGGGTCCAGGGCAGCCAGAGAGTGATCCAACATGGGAAGTGAGATACTCAGCAGACTCATAGAATGGCGGATGTCCTAAATAGCACTCTGGCCTCAGAATCAGCCCTAAAGACACTCGGATCTGGCTGAAAAGCCCATGAGAGTATTTCAGGCATGGAAAGCCAAGACACTCTGGCAAAAAGATCTCTGTGAGTGAGATCCCAGTGGAAAGAACAGGTCTTCAAAGAGGGAGGTGCCTTTCTCTGAAGGGAGGAGAGAACCTCCACTTTGACTATGACCGTGTCTAACCAAGATAAGAGTCGGAGAACTCAAGGGGCTTCCATAGCCTTGGAAACTCATGACTGGTGCATAGGGAGATTACTGATGCCAGAAACAGGAGTGTCAATTTGTAAAGTCAACAACAGGAGTCACTGTGCACTTACTCCTCATGTAGGATCTCTGTCCTTAATGTGCTGTACACTGAGGCTTAATGCTATAACGAGTACTCAAACAGTATATTTCACTTTGTGTTTCTATGGGGGTGCAAACGATTGAAATCTTTACTTAATGTATACTAAACTGATATTCTGTAAAAAAAAAAAAAATTATCAATTCCCAACTTGACTCTCGCTGGGATTAAACATGACAATAGGTCTGATCTGATTTCATCATCATTAAAAAAAAATCATCTATTATTTTTCACTTTATGTTTCTGTGTGGGAGCAAACTGTTGAAATCCTTACTTAAGGTATACTAAGCTGATCTTCTGTATATTAAGATAATCGAAAATGAATCTTGATGTGAATGGAAGGGGAGAGGGAGTGGGAAAGGGGAGGGTTGTGGGTGGGAGGGACGGTAAGGGGGGGGAAGCCATTGTAACCCATGAGTCGTACTTTGGAAATTTATATTCATTAAATAAAAGATAAAAAATAAAAAAAATA